TGGTCAAGTGTCTGGTGGTCAATGCATGTCATAGCGAGCGTTTGAATGGCCTTAGCATATCATTAGCATATTCTACTTTGATTGGATGAAAGGCAGACCGGACACTTAGCATATTAGGCTTTTATTATATAGGATTTTTTAAAAAATCTCTGTTCAGCATTACTTTTATTTCTACATATTTTGTTGCTATGTCTCTATCACACAATGAGTCCTGTATAATACCTTTTCAATCAGTACCAAAAGGCTTTTCAATCTCTAAATATTTTGACATTTGTGTGCAGGAAGGGCACATAAGCAGTTGAATAAAACTGGACATATAAATTTGGGATTTTTAAGTATAAAGCCCTGGATTTAGATGAGTACCATAACATCCCAACACTTCAAGCAGAAGGAAAAAAACTCAAATGTGTACTGGGCAGGGAGGTAAACAGAATTCAGTAAATCTGCCTGAAACTAGAGCATGATGGGACTTGTAGTCAACTATGCACTGCACACACACCTTAAGTGTTCTATTTCAAAAATTTTAAAACATTGTGCCAAAACAATGTTTCTGCAAACTACATTTGGGTCATATTCAGTTCCACAGCTTACATTCTTTGATTCTGGGGTTTAAAGGGGAAGATAAAGCAGCAAAGAAAGCTGAAAAAGAATAAATAGGTAGAGGAGTAGAAAGAAAACCAGGAGGAGCCAAGAAATTATTTTTAAGAACATATGCAATGGTTAACAGTTTCAAATGCTAGCTATTGCATGCACCTAAGATAAAGTCAGAAAAGTGTTCACTCTATTCAGCTACATAAACGTTGTTGGTAACACTTGCTTTCACAGAGTTGAGATCAAAACACAAAGTATATCAAGTAGAAGAACAAGTTGATCCCAGCCAGTAATATAGAGCATATGTAGTTGGCCCTTGAACAATACCCGAGGATTAGAGGCACCAACCTCTCTGCACAGTCGAAAATCTGCTATGACTTCTGACTCCCCCAAAACTTAACTAACTTCAGTACCCACAGGGGATTAGGTCCAGGATCCCTGTGGATACCAAAATCCATAGATGGTCAAGTCTCTATACAAAATGGCATAGGTCAATGCATACACTCAGCCTTCTGCATCAGAGAACTCTCAACCACGGGTTAAAAACAGTACAGATATTTATGAAAAAATTCTGCCCAGCTGGTGTGTGCCCAGTGGTTGAGCATCAACCCATGAACCAAAAGGTCACTGGCTCAATTCCCAGTCAGGGCACATGCCCAGGTTGTAGGCTCGATCCCCACTGTGGGGCATGCAGGAGGTAGCTGATCAACGACTCTCCTTCATTATTGATGTTTCTATCTCTCTATCCCTCTCCCTTCTTCTCTGAAATCAATAAAAATATAATTTTTTTAAAATTCCATGTATAAGTGAACCCACACAGTTCAAACCTGTGTTTTTCAACAGTAATCTGTATATTAAAAAAAGAAAAAATACAGTTTATATGATTGTCAATATAGAATATTCTAAAGGATGTACAAAAAAGCTACTACTAGAACTAGTAAATGAGATTATCAAGGTCATAGGATATAAGGTCAACATAGAAAGTCAATAATAGCCCAACCAGCATGGCTCAGTGGTTGAGCACTGACCTATGAATTTGGAGGTCACAGTTCGATTCCTGTCAGGCCACAAAATAACACTCTAACCGAGCCACCCAGCCAGGACAGAAAATTGAAATCTTAAAAAATACCAGTAAGTCTAACAAAATGTGGGCTAAGTTTGGCACACTAAAAACAATAAAACACTAATGAAGAAATTAAAGATCTAACCCTGGCTGGTATGGCTCAGTTGGTTGGGTACTGTCTCTTACACCAAAAGGTTGCTGTTGGGTTCCTGGTCAGGGCTTATACCTAGATTGCGAGTTCGATCTCCAGTAGAGGGAATGCAGGAGGCAGCAGATTGATGTTTTGCTCTAGCGTCAATGTTTTTCTCTCTCTCCCTCCCACTCTCTCTAAAAATAAACAAAAACATTTTTTTTAAAAAATCACAAATTCCTCTAAAAAAAAAAAAAAGAAATTAAAGACCTAAATAAAACTATTGTGTTTGTGGATTAGTGAACTAAATATTAAGATGTCAAATCTCTGTAAATTAATGTATAGACTCAAGGCAATTTAATCAAATCGCAGCAGGCTATTTTACTAGAAATTGTCAAGCTTATTCTAAAATTTATATAGAAATTCAAATATCTAGCATAAACAAAACCATTTTTAAAAAGAGAAACAAAGTGGGAGCACTCACACTACCTAATTTCAAGACAGTTCAGTAATTAAGAGGGTGGTATTGGCATGAGGAAAAGACAAATAAACCAACAGAAAGAGACCTGCACATATATTTCAAACATGAGTATTACTGCTATCTAGTGGGAAGAAACCAAGGATGCTGCTAAACATCTTACAATACCCAGGACAGCCCACACAATAAAATATTATCTGGCCTAAAATGTCAAAAGCAGCAAGGTTGAGAAACCCTGTTCTAACAAAAAATATAGGAGAAAATCTTTGTGACCTATGATTAGGCCAAAATTTCTCAGGTAGGATACAAGAAGTATAAACCACCAAAAACCAAAAATCAATAAACCAACTCCATCAAAATTAAAATTTCTGCTCTTTGAAAGAGAGATAGGAAAATACAAAGAAAAAACACAGACTGGGGGAAAATATTTGCAAAACACATATCTGATAAAGGACTTGCATCTAGAATATATAAAGAACTCTCAACATTCAATAAATGGAACACATCGGCAAGAAAAAAAAAGGGGAACAGACTTACATAGATACTTCACTGCAGAGGACAGATGGAGCCCTGGTGCTATGGCTCCGCTGGTTGGGTGCCCTTCCATGAACTGAGAGGGTGCCAGTTCAATTCCCAGTCAGGGCACATGCCTGGGGTTCTGGGCTCAATCCCCAGAAGGAGGCATGCAGTAGGCAGCTGATGTTGCCCTCTCACATCAATGTTTCTGTTTCTCTCTCTCTCTCTCTCTCTCTCTCTCTCTCCCTTTCCCTCTAAAAATCAATTTAAAAAATCTTAAAAAGAAACAAGAAACATGGATGGCGAATAAGTACACAAAAAGTGCACAATATTATTAGTCATTAGAAAAATGCATATTAAAACCACAATGACACACCATAATACACCTAGAATGGATAAAATTTTAAAAACTGATTAATACCAAGAGCTCAAAGAATGCAAAGCAACTAGAACTCTCATACACTATGGAGTATGTAAAATGGTACAGTCACCTAGAAAAACAGTTTTGACACTTCCTTATAACGTTAGATAATCACCTGTAAATATTTAACCATTGAGTAAGGGTTTATTTTTCCTCCAACAAATATATACAAGTTCTTTTCCTATCTGCTCATAATTTTTCCATTTCTTCTAAGTTTATGATTATGTTCTAAATTAATGGTTTTCAAAATGGGGTCTGAGGCTCTCTGGGGGCTACTGACATCTTTTAGTGACCACTATTCAGTGATCCCCCTTTTCTAACTACATTTGTGAGCCTCCCTTTTCTAACTACATTTCTATGTA